CACATGCATCCATGGATTATGGCAAGTGCGCACATCAACACACACACACACATGCCCACCCACCATCATTGTTCTGGACCATAACAACCACTGTGTTTGTGTCACAGTGCACTGAGGGAAGCAGACACATTCCCTTCGTTGAAGGAACCTTTGTCATACATTAACAGCATGTACAAGGGCGTAGCCTTGAGCATGAGCAAGAGGTGCTGAGCACCTGCAATAGCCCGACTTCTGAAAGGTCTAAAGTCTGAAGCTCCTCCTCGTCGTAGGCATTCATATTTTGGTTAGTCATTTGACAAGGGTCCTGCTCTCAACCAACGGGTGAGATAGCGAGTGCATGCCTTGGCCCAACACAAGTACTTGTACCTGTAGATATTGAAATTACAAACCCCAGCAGGACCTTCTGTTTCTGTGATGAATGATTGCTTTGCATCCCTGGTGCAAAACAACATTGTCGAGCTGCGGGAGGCACAAAATGACCAGCCTGTTCCTTTCGTGAGTACCCATTTCCAACCCCCATACACTGCAGTTCATATCTCCACTGCATCTGGGGATTTTTTTTCCTTTCAATCTTTCCTTTGGGGATTTTTGGGCAAAAGCAACTTTTCAGCGCAAGCCACCTTGGCCCTTCTGACCTCAGCCAGCTAGATAATGCCGAAGGGCAACCAGCCACCTGTTTGGTCATGCCAATCGGTCCTGGGAAAGCTTCAATCCTGTTCCGCACTAACACCCTCTATTTGGCCTCCATAAGCGAACCTGAAAAGGTTCTGTGGATCTGACTTAACAAAGCCCAGGGACAATGGACAAAACCACTAGCATGATTTGTCTGCAGTTCTTTCCGTCTGACAGCCGGTCAGCAGCAGCACACCTTTCTCCACTTTGATTTATTTCCGGTCTGGCAGCTGATCAGCAGCAGCAGCACCACCACAGCTTTCTCCACGACCCCGGGGGACTCCACTACTTGGTCAAAGCCTTAAAAAGGCCTCCAAAGTTACAAACACGCAATCCTGGAGCACTTATCACTTTACAGTTCATCAGGTTGATGGCGACTTATCAGGGTTAACAACTTTTCCACTCGCAGCATAAAACAGTGAGAACTTGTTGGAGGGTCGAAGAAAACTTGAAGGGCTCAGGAATAGGTTAGCTAAGGGTTAGCACAGCGAGAACTTGTTGGAGGGTCGAAGAAAACAGCGAGAACTTGTTCTCCGCAAACTGACCAGCAAAATGCTAAGGGTTAGCACAATGGTTAGCTTCCGTAATGAGAAAAGCTTGGGGTGCAGGAAAGACCAACACCTGGAGCAGAGCATGCTAAGGGTTAGCACAATGGTTAGCTTCATGATGAGAATCGCTTGGGGTGCAGGGAAGACGAACACCTGGAGCAGAGCAAGATTTTTTTTCAACTTTGAGACCTGAGCGTAGGCACTGTCCTGTCTGCTGCTCAAAGGCAAGACTTCAGCTTATCACTCCAACTGAGACACAACACCTTAGCAGACAGAACTCCAGAGAATTTGCCATGGTTATTAACCGACCATGGATAATTCATATAAATCATTCGGCACAGTACGTTCTCATGAGTTTGCGGATAAGCAGCACGACAATCGCTATTCCAAGAACCACTGCTAAGAGGGTGAGGCCCCTGTCTTCCAGGCCGGCACCACTAACCTGCAGTTGTGCACGAAGTTCATTCCGTGGGTGCTGCGCTGCTGCCGCCCTTCCCGCATCACCGTCATCGCCACTCGTGCCTGGTCCTCGATGCCTCATCCCTTCGCCGCTGCCTCCTGGCCTGTTCATTGTTAGCCCGACGCTAAGAGTCAAGCTTGCACGCAGCATGTTTCCACCACCTCCTTGTGGCCCAAGATCGATAGCAGGACCAGCATATTCAACGGGAAAACTATCTGATGAATGCTGATTACCAGCGCTGGCAGCTGCAACAGCAGCATTGTCGTCCACACGACGGTCACGAGATGACCAATTCTCCAGCCTGTTGTCTGCAGCTCCACTCCTCCCTGGTCTCCCAGCTGATGATGCAGCATTGCCTGGCAAAACACCCTCCGGAGCCTCCCTGGCGGCTGTTGTGTTCAGTTCAGTCTCCCTACCTTCAGAAACTTGCACGTCGTTGGCAACAGGCGGGTCTGATGAGGATTGGGTATCTGATGCCTCTGAGTTGGACAGCTCAGTCGCCTGTTCCACCTTCACTTTCCCGCTCGCGTCCGGTGATGGTTGCAACTCTGGCACAGGGGGAGCATTCTTCAACATGCGCTCATGTACCTGCCACCAAAAATCATCGTCAAACATGGCCATCTTCTCTGTTTTGGTCGGCGGCCGGTCAAATACAAAGGCCCTTTAGGGCCCAAATTTCCCATGTTGTGCTAAATTACTTACAGAGGTATGCATACACTCTAGCAATACCTCAGGATAAACACCCATCCAAACAACTCATTACAAAAGGTAAAACATGAAAAATTCTCTTCTGTTGAAATTGTAGAACACTTCTGAATGAAATACGGCTTGAAATTTCCAAACACAACACGATTGTAGAGCCAGTGAGAAGGAAGTCATGGCCTTGTGCAGTGCACATAAGTTGAGCATAGCTTCATATGAAAAGTTCGAGTTCATTGTGTATTACTGGATAATCAACAAGTTGTGCAGAGCTTCCTGCAAACTTGGGGACGAAGTTCGGAACACGAGAACACAAAAGCTAGATTGCCAATGCTATCTCAGGCCAGGGCCCACCTCGCCAGTGCCTCCTACTAGGCTCCTAGGCCAGTGCCTCCTACTAGGCTCCTAGGCCTGTGCAGGGAGACCTCCCACTATCTCAGATGGTATGATCAATGTCAGCACATCAGCGGATGATCAGCCTGGATTCCAGGCCAGTGAAATGGATATCCTCCGGATGGGACAGGCCCTAACTGTGCGCGAACAGTGACCTCTGGAGAAACTCACCCCATGTAATCTGCACGGTGGGAAACCTTCTGGGTTAGCATTCATTCATGGCAACACATGAGGCCCTTGCCAGAGGTTGGAAAGGGCCTGCGCCCGCTGGAAACTCTCTGTGGCCGCCCTAAGTGAAGGCAGGCCACTGAAAATTGTACGAGACCCGAAAATAGGCCAATGTGGGCAGTAAGGGCCTCGTGGGTTGGTTGCTGCACGCATCATCGACCGGAAGGCCCGATAGGTTGAAGATGCTGGGGCCCATAGACGATTGTAATGAAGCCTGCAGATTCTCAGTGGACTGTACATTGGGCCGAGGGCGAAGCTCGGGGCTTGCCTCGGTCGGGTCGCGTCTTAGGTTAGATTCGTAATTTTGTTTGGCTGAGGGCTAACCGAGCGAGAGACCTACCTGTAAGGAAAATTCCTGAGGAACATATCTGCAAATTCGGGAAAATACAGGCCCGTACTAACTGAATTTCCTACAGCTACCCTAACTGCGAATAGCAGACCCGGGCTACCCCTAGGACAGCCAGGCCCTATAAACCTAAGCTGATAGACGGTCCTATAGCCTATAGCCGGGTTGGGAGAGGCCCTAGAGGCCGAAACAGAATCGGCACCGGTCAGTCAGTCAGTCCAGTCTAGGTCGAGTCTAGGCTGGTTTAGACTATATAGATAGGATGGGCACATCGGTTCAGGGCTTTTGGCAGTTGGTACCGAGTACATCGCTGCTGTGCTACGCGTGAACCGGAAGTGGTGACGGCTCAGCGTAGAAGGAGACTGGCATAGCCAAACCTTCGGAGCGTCGGCCATAGCTGGGACCTGCGCTGTACTCTGCCAGCACATAGGGGATGTCAGAGGTCTGGGTTATCGAGGTCTGCTGGAGGCGACGGAAGTTGGTGCCCTGCTGGACCCTCCTCCGGAGTGGGGTCCAGGGTTGTGGCGCTGCAGCCATAGCTGCAGCTTCTTCCTCAGAGGTCATCTTGTCAGGAGTTGGTGGCGCTGCTGCAGACTTCCATCCGGGAAGTCTTCCAACACTTCGTCATCAGCAGATACTGTGGCGCTGGTCTTCTTCTTCATCCTCTGAGTGGCGCTTTGCCTCAGAGGCCTGTTTCAGGGTGGCGCTTCCCTTTGGAGGCTGTATCTGGGTGGCGCTTGATGTTTCAGGGGCTCAGGGGTGTCACGAGTGGTTACTCAGGGTTGGGGTGTAGGTCTGAAGTATTCCGACAATTTGAGACTATTGAGTTTAATAAACAGTGTAATACTGGGTTTGGACTATCATCGTTTCATTGTTTCTTGGATGTGATCTACTCGACTTTCCTTTATGACTGGTTGTGAGGATTGAGTGGAGTGAATTGCACTTTCGCGTACCCTGTCATATCGCATGGTCAAGCCTTCCGCTGTGTTTCTCTCTCCCTATGCGGTGTGATACGCCTATCCTCTCCCCTTCCTTCTGTGTATGTATGGGCATACCTGGAAGTCCATGTGTGCGAGTGTTGGTCTCAGACAACAAACAACCAGAATCATAACAGTTGGTATCGAAGCGATTGGATCCAAATACTGGAGCGATTGATGAATTGGAGCAACCATCATCATCTGGCGAGATACTGGAGTTGAGTTTCATGGCGATTCATCATCTTCAAGGTTGTTGTTAGTAAGGGTGGTGGTAGTGAGTGTGTGGCGAGAAGAATTGGACAGAGGGTGACTCACTCTTGACTAGGGTTGTGCAGGAGTGGTTGGCGATTGGTGCTCAAAGGCCTGAGAGGCTCTGAGAGGCTATTTTTAGCCTGGCGATTCATCTGGAGGCTGGCAATTGGCAAGGAAGTGATCCCAGGAGGTTGCAATTTTCGAATTGGGTCAGGATCCCCAATTTCCAAGCAGCGCAGTACAGGGTGATGTGGCGCTGCACTGAGTTTGTCAGTTATTGGCACCTAGGAGATCAAATTCATTGAATTTGTCAGTTGGGGGTGAAGCGCCTCAGGGTAATCTACTGGATCACCAAGTTTCAGGCAATTTGGTACGTGGGAACACTGGGTACTGTAAGGAGATGAAACTGGCGAGATGGGGTTGACTAGTCAGCCATAGCCAGAGTTTCATGCATCTTCTTCAGAGTTGACCCTGAAGTAAGTGTGTTCCTTACTTTGCTCTATGTGGCGATTCTTGGTCTATTTTTAGATTAGCGAAATATGGTCTGTCAGTCAGTAGACAGTTGAAAATCGAAATTCAGACTGTAGGACAGCCATATCCAACTTCCCCTACCTATCTTCTTTGACTTCTACTAACCTTGTTTGACCTCCTTCCTGACTCAAATTTCATATGCAACTGCTTTACAGTATTGCGATTTAGACTGTGTAGTGAATTGGTGAATTCTGGGTCCTGTGGTCAGTGATAATGCAAATTTGAAGTCTGCGCTGACATAGCTGAAGCTTGGCGAGACTAGGGTCAGTCATAACTTCAATTTTGTCCATCAGAATTCAATTATGTCAGTCCCTGGTAAATTGCAATTCAATAATCAGTCTGTGTCTGAAATCGCACATCCAGATTTGACGTTTTGAGTCAGTTACGGTGAAAATTGTAATTCGCCATACCTAGGGTATGGCATACAGGGTCCTACAGTGGTGAAGTCTGCAGGGTAGGTCTAAAAATAGGGTTACCTGTAAATCGCTGCATCTTGGTTATCAGTGGACACCTGTCCATCCCTAATTAGTCACTGTGTCCAACTACTAGTCAACACTAATCAGTCCAAGACTGCATCCTGTCAGTTATTGATGCAGGATTTGCAATTATTGCGTGCAATTGTTGGTTCAGGGCAGTGATGGGAAAATCGTGAAATGGGTTTTTGCTAAGTGTACTCTAAACTGACCCTGACCCTCAAGCGGTCTGCTGAGACTGAGCACTCACTTGCTCAGACTAACCAACTTCCTCTCTTCAGGCAGGTGATAGTAATTGAGCGAGTACAGGATAGAAAACTAAATTCCTATTACCTCCTGTTTGTCTTCTGTTAATTGTTTTTATTTTTATTTATCTGAATTGTGGAAATGGTAGATGCTGAGAAGGGAGAGGCTTCTGATGTGAAGCCTCACATTGCACTTGACCCTTCAGAGGCTGAACTGCGGGCCCAGGAGGTGAAACTCCGCCAGCAGGCCCAAGCAGTTGAGTCCCTAAAGGCTGAGCTGAAGAAGAAAGAAGAAGCATCTCAGAAGGAGGCCAGGCGAAAGCTGCTAATTGCAGATGTAGAGAAGATCAGGGTGAGTGGTACTTCCATCCAGTACAACAAGGACATGGCTGAGTTCATCCTCTTGCAGGATGATATTCACCGTTCTTATTTTACTAACTAGGATGACCCGATTACCAGTCTGGAGAGCAGCCACTCAGCTTTTTCTAAAAAGTTGGATGACATCTCTGCCAAACTGGACCAGATCTTTGCTCATTTGAAGATTCCTACTACCCTGACCTTGCCTCCATCCCCTGGGCCTCCTCAGGCAGGCCCTCAGACACTCCCACAATCGAGACCTACATCCCCATCTTCTACACCCAAGTCAACAGCCGCCTCACAGCCCTAAGTTTCATCCGATCAGCAGCAGCCTAAGCTGACCCCTCCACCCATGTTCTCTGGCGAGGACCCTAAGGTGGATGTTGCAGATTGGGTCACTGCCCAAAGAACCTACCTGAGTGGGTTCAAATGTGACGAGGATGTGAAAGTGTTAGCCATCCTTGCTCGTCTGGAGAGGACTGCACTGAAATGGTGCACCTCTACCTCCAACAAGCAAGGTATGGAGATGTCTGATTGGGCGCACAGGTTGGGGGTGGCTGGATTTCTGCAGGCACTTCAGGACCGGTTTGCAAACAAGGAGCAGGCCAGAAAAGCAGCAGACAAAATTCTGCGCCTGGGCCAGAAAAAGTTTGATGGCTCCACCTTTGAGAGCCTGACATCGACTCCTAGGTTGGAGATGAGTGAGCAGGATCTGCTCATTCATTTCCTCAGGGCAACGCCTGAGCAATTCCAACTTGCCTTGTTCTCTCAGGGCCACAAGGACTGACGGTCCTTTGGCAGAGCAGCCCTGGACTTGGAGTCCAAACTCCATGTCCGAGAAGCACCTTCTGAAGGAAGGAAGGGACCCTCCTCAAAGGGGCGAAGGAGGAAGGGTGCCCTGTTTGCTGCTGCAACTTCTAGTTCAGATAGTCATGCAACATCCCAGGGTGGGACCCCTCCATCTGGGACTGCTTCCTCATCTGCTGCAGATCCTGCTGTTCTTGTCCTGGCTGATGCTTTGATGGGTCTGACTAATGGCAAGGCCTCAACCCAAAAAGCACCAACCAGCAGCAAGGGGAAAGGTAAG